ATAAATAAATAAATAAATAAATAAAATTATAAATGAATTAAATAAATAAATTTATTTATTTATTAATTCATCAATACTTGTATTTATTTATTTATTTATTTATTTATTTATTAATTTATTTATTTATTAATTTATTTATTTATTTATATTTTTAAATTTCTCATTATTTGTGTAGCTCGATATTGAGCATCTTATTTGAACTCGAACATATAATATATAATTTTTTTATAATTACATATATCCAATTACGTTTTTATCATAATTTTAAATTGAGTTTTTATTTTTTATTGAATATCTCCAATTAAAAATTTCACAAATTCTTTAATTATTTGAGTAATGCACGAGTTAAAAAAGTAAATCTCAGAACTTAAAATCTGTATTATGTTATATGTTAAACTTATTTAAATGAGAGTTTGAACCAAACTTATATGGTTCTTGCATTACTATGAAGTACATGAGTCATCGTGGGTTCAACTCCCACCTAGTGACATGTTTTTTTGCTAAGTAAAACACACACAAATTTGATGACACGAAATCACTACCAATTATGTGGCATCCCTAACGTGACAGTTTGGATGATGTGACAAAAAAATACCCTAGTTGGTAAATAAGTTTAAAAGTATTCGGCAATCAATACATAGAGTCTGCAGTTGTGGAACCTAACTACTCTAGTTTTGGAAAAAACTCGGCAATCAATACATGGAGTCTGCAGTTGTGCACCGGTAGAAAAATGGGGCCAGTGGGTATTGTATCTTAAATTCTTAATATTCTAAAACTGTCAAAATGAGCTGCAAAATTTCCAGCAGTAGTGTGTAGGTGGGAAGAAGTTTAGGGAGGCAGCTCCTCCATACTGTATATCTTTTCCGATGTGGGCCCTTGAGTTTGAATTGGGACTCACATGCAGTGGTGAAGAAGTTGGTGCTGCATTTGGGAGCAAGTTTGTACCTGGTCTGCTCCTCAACTCTCTTCATACCATGGCCTGATTTGATAATAAAAAGGGTAATTAAATTTTTTCAAATTATTTTAATATAAAAAGACCCTAAAATGTACACATTCATCAATACCTTTTTTAAAAATATATGTCATGTTTAACCGCATGAATATTATTATTAGAATATAATAATGTTGCTAAATAATACTATTGTATATTTATATTAATGCTAAAATAAGTTTAAAGTTTAATGTATAGGCAATAAATTCTTTTTAGAAAGTAAGAAATAAATGAATTGTGTAATTTAATGTCACACAAACATTTATATTTTGGATTCACTTCATATTATTGATCTAAAAGTTGTTTAACTAGTGTGTCTGATATTTAATATCGTTTGGTATTTTACAAAATCGAGTACTGATTATCTATTAAATTAAGATAAAATAAACATTACAAAAGTAGAATTTTTTATATAAGAAGTATCCCATAAGGGCACGTTTGGTTCGATGTAATCTCTTATACAGGCCGAAATTTGATATCCGAAACGTGAGATACATGTGTTTGGTTCGTGAGTTTGAAAAAAAATGGGATTGTTACATTTCTAAAAAGCGTAATCACATAGCCACTAATGTGAAACTACTAAGCCCAACCAATCATTCCAGCTCACTGGGTGGAAGGTTACCGTGTCCTAGCGGAGGTCTCGGGTTCGAATCCCGCTAGGCACATTTAGGGGAGAGGAGGGAGGTCTTGCTCCCAATGATTCTTCCTACCTTCACGGAGTTGCTCAGCGGCTGAGAAGGGAGAGAATGGTAATGAAGGTAGCGGGTTCGTGTGGTGGGAGGAACAACCTGAAAGGTGATGTAAGTCCTGCTGGATTCGTCCTTTGGAGTCAGTACTGACGAGGCTGACTGTGATCAGATCCGGACTTAACTGTCTAGGGGCTTTAGAGGGTAGTTCATAGACTCCAGGATTATGGGAGCGTAAACCCCGACACCTGGATTATAAAAAAAAAATGAAACTACTAAGCCCTTAGGTTATGTCGGTGAACCCTTGATTCCGGTCATTGACGACGTACATAAATGATACTCCCTCCGTCCCTAATAACTTTGCCAGGTTTGACCGGCACGGAGAATAATAAAGTAAAAAATGTGTGGTTAAGATTTGTGCAGAGGAAAGAGAACGGGCTAGAACCACAAATTCTTTACTTAAAGGGGAAAGTGGCAAAGTTAGTGGGACATACAAAAAAGGAAAGTTGGCAAAGTTATAAGGGACGGAGGGAGTATCTCATGTGGCTGTTTTCCTTCCATGCAGCTGTCCACTTAGTGCTGTATTTAATAGTTTAAGGACGAGGGAGTAAATACGTCTATGCCCCATTTATTTAAGGCACACACAAATAAATGATGTTTATGATACTCCATTTTTAAAATTGGTAATGTAGATATCACTAGTTCCAAATTCCAATTGGGGAATTGTCCTAAACAGAAGTAAAGTAATCCTAAATGCACAACCACAATTTATAATGTTTATTTTCTCCAAATAGGAGAAAGTATATACTCTATCGTTCTATTTTACACTTATCAATGACTTAATAATAAGAAATTCATATTTTTATTTGTCATAAAAACAAAAAAAATATTCTATTTCATAATAAAATCGTAAAAATTAAATACAAAATTTTAAAAATAGAAATACTGAAAAAATAAAAAATAAATAGATAAAAAAAACACATTTATTTTTAAAAAAATATGGAGGCCTTTCTTGCCACCTCCACGCACTGTTACCTCCGACAAAGCCACGAAAATGACATATTACTATTAAAAAATGTCAAATATTGATCTGAAACTGTCATCAACATGGCATAACCTATGCATGTTGACATTTTTTTGAGGGTCGGAGTCGGTGGCACTCGGAGGCGGCGGCAGATGCCTGCATAATTTTATTTTTTTATTTTTTTACCTTTTATTTTCTATTTTTATTTTTAACTTTTTATATTTATATAATTTTTTTCTATTTTTATTAATTTGTTTAATATTTATTTTCATGTTTTTTACTTCGTATTTTTTACAATCTTATTATTTTTTCATGATTTATAATATATACTCCTATTCTTGCAATTTAAGTTTCATTTAATCCTATTTGGGGAATTTCCCCATTCGATTTCTTGATTGCTCACATTTTTAATGGAAAATTTTACTCAAAAAAGGTTATGTCCCTAGATGTATATACTGATCGAGTGCTTCTACAAATCGAATACTCGATATGTCTTCTGCCCATATAGGTACCCAATAAATTAAAATACAAGAGATACCATTTACGCTGAATTTATTTTTTCTTTATTATCATGAGCGTATACCAAACACGTACCCATGCCAAATACTCTTAACTAAATGATAATAGGTAGCTAGGAATTTTTCAAAATAAAATTTCACAAGGACTTTATTATTAACAATGGGTGATGAAAACCTATTTATAATGTAAACAACAATCGAAATGCATCCCCACAAAAAAATTGATATATAGGTAACCCAGACTGAAAATGGAGTGCATTTACAATTTCTAAGATGTCTCCATATGCTTTCGTTCGATAACTAAATTTTGTTATGATGTGTCTATGCATGATGTCTCCAATAATATCTCAGTGAGTCTATAATAATCAAATAAATTGTTAGTTTGAAATTCCACGCTATTATTAGCATGTATGCGTTTCACCTTTTGCTCAAATTGAGTACTGTTAATTGTGTTGCAAAATTGAATTAGAAGTTCAGAAACTTCAGATTTATATTTCGGGTCTCATCTCATGCAAAGAAGATTGATAGGAGAACAGTTCAAACTCCCTTAGACGACCGATATTGCACACCATCATTTAGTTGTTGCTATTATTTTCCTTATGGCTCCAAATCAATCTTTGAAGTAAGAATTAATTAATATTAGTTAGTTTAAAAATGCAAACACCTCAAGTGTGTCGTCATCAATGGATATGAATTATCGCACACCAGAAGTAGAGTAACATTTATAGCCTCCCGAGATGTCACAATATATTAGTTCAAAATTAAACAACGAGTTGTCCTAGTGGTGGTTACGTTATGTACATTAGGAAAAGATAGAATAGTTTGCTTAGCTCTTATGTGCGGACCGTAAAGATCTTTGCACTATATAAGGCCTTTGAGAAAACCGGTGTGATGTAGTTTCCCATACGTTGATGCCATAAATCAGAGGTAATAGTGACTCACATTGCCACTGGTTCACCGCTCGGAGACTCTAGATAGTAGAGACCCACACCAATCAGCTTCCTCAAGGTTAAGCCTACAAAATACAGAAGTTTGGGAAAAATGTGAGTGTATACTTTAGATCACTTCTTAGGCTACTAGCCGAAAGTACGTAAGTTGCACCGGAACTTTGGAATAAATAGAACACATTTAAGAAGAAATTCATTGGGTAAGTATAAATTACCAACAACATGAACCACAACTAAGAAGTTGTTCTCTTCGTCTAATCTGAATGTTTCTGATCTGAATTTTTTAAGATCTGACCTGATCTTATCTGAATCTTTCTGATTTGATCTAATTTGAATGTTTCTAATCTGTCTGAATCCTTTTGATCTGATCTTAACTTTCATGACTGATAGTTTCATGACTGGCTTTATATTAATAGTTACACTGCCAACCATCATAGCTTTGGAATGAGAAATCAATGATATTTGAAATAATGATGAATATATGACTAAAATTAAGGCATCGAACAAAAATTAACTTTTTATGTATACTTTAGTGAATTAGCGATTTTGGTTATTTTCAATTTTATGTTATAGTGATCAAGCTAGTATGTTTAATTAGAGTAACTTTAGTCACATGTCATCCATATATTTTATTTTCTTAATATCTAAGGATAAATCTCTAAATATAAAGATTAGATTCGGTAGGTAACAATGAGAATTGGGTTTGATGGAATTTTTTACATTTTTAAGTACAATTATCAAACAAGTATTCTTTTCTTTCTTTCTTTCTTTCTTCATTTTACATTTATTGAAAAGAAGTAGTTTTCCATTTATGATCAAATATCACATCACAAACTTCCTAGTCCTTATACGTTTACTCTCATTCCATATCAACGTCCCTCCTATATATCTTTAATTAACTCTCATTTTTTTGCTGCATTGTTCTAGAGCTAGACATAGTATGTGTGTGATTGCCAAAATCCCTCCGTTCTTGTGCATGTCCTCGTTATGAATCTTAATTAATTAATTGGTTGTCTATCTCCAGGCTACAATAAAGAGGTTAGCCAATCAACTTATTCAACATGTTACTTTTGTGAGATAAACTACTAGCTAGCTAGTAGTTGCATTTTTTGAGCCGTGTTTGCATTTATTTCTATTATAAGAAGTCATTATATTTATTTTAATGATTATATGAAAATCTAAGTGATTTTAAGAAAATAAAAGTTATACACTTGGCCATTTTGGTAAAAACAAACTATATATTGTGGAATTAGGTTAGAAGTGCGTAATTAATTAACTACAAAAAACTTGTTGAAAGCACTACTTTTCCTTTTCAAAAGAAAAAAAGCAGTCTTTAATTTATCCGGTAAGTTTTTAGGAGGATTCTAGGGTATCCTAAAGGTATGTTTGGGAGTTTACAAAATTGGAGGGGATGGTTTTGGAGGGCTTATGTTACCCTCGAAAATCCTCTAAGAATGTAATCTTTTGGATTGATTTCAGTACCAAACAAGATCAGACTTAAATAGATCAGATCAAATCAGATTTGAACAAATCAGACCAGACATGGACAGTTATAAAATACACAGAGACCAGACATTTACCAGACAAGACCATATAAGTTCAGACTAGACTAGACCGACCAACAAATTTCATTCCACAAGAAAACATCCTAAATGGTCAATTTTTAAGTTCCCTCAATTTGAAGGATTTTGAAGGATAATTAACAGAATGATAATTTAAGCTCAATTTAAAAATAATGAGTTCAATTATTTGAATTCGTGATATTTAATTTCGAAGTGATTTTAAGTATAATTCATTCAAAGACTCCCTTTTTCCAAATTTATTACTCTCAAATACAATGAATGGTTTCCACACCTTCCTCTCTCTTTCCCCCCAACTATATACCTTCAAAGTCTTCCCCTTCCCTTCAAACTACCAAACATATCTTAAAAGTGCCACACTTTTGTCCATATTGATCAATTAGAATGTTGTAATAAAATTATTTAAATATAAATTAAAAATGATATAATGATTCGAACCAATCAAGTGAATATATGATTAGTACGGTACCCAATTTTTTCAAATGAGTATCATAGTTGTCACCATTTTTGTAACCGTTCCTCCAACCTCGCTTAATGTATGCATCCATGCATTAATGCATATACATCAATTAACTATAAAAAACTATAGATTCTTTTACTTAAATTAACTATAGAATTATTTAGTCATGCACTTATTAAGTTATTATTATTCATTATGATGTTTACCACCAAAAATGACGATGCACAGGAAAAATCGCTTTTGGGTAATTAATTAATTTGAAACAATAAAGACAAAGAAATGTGGAAGCTTAGGATCGGAGAGGGTGGAAACGATCCGTACTTGGATAGCACCAACAATTTCGTGGGCCGGCAAACATGGGAGTTCGACCCTACCGCCGGAACGCCGGAAGAACTCGCGGAGATGGAAGCCGCCCGCCGGGAGTTTTGGAACAACCGATATAAGGTCAAGCCTAGTAGTGATCTTCTTTGGAGAAATCAGGTAACATAAATTTAATTAATACACAACCTTTCTTTGCCTTTTCTTCTTTTTCTTCATTTGTCTTTTGCAATACGGTAGATTCTATGATACCCCTAAGGTACTATACCTTTGTCCATATGAACCAATGAGAATGTCACAGTTGAATTATTTAAATCTAAATTAAAAATGATATAATGATGTGGACCAATCAAGTGAATGGTAGATACGATACCCATTTTTTAAATTGGTACCGAAGTTGTCACCTTGCAATATTCTTTTTAACAATAAGTGAGGTGTGGGTTTGCACGTTAAGTGATTATTATTATTATTCATATATAAAGAAATTGGCCAAAAAATTAATGGGAAAAGCGTCAAATTAAATAAGTTCTTCTATTATTTTCAATCATCACTTAAGATCCTACACTAAAAAAATCATCATATAAGTACACTTACTTTAAAATACGTCGATCAGTTTGACAATTCAATCCATTTTTGACTTGTAATAGCAGATTTTTGTATTAAAAAATCTAAAAACATTATTAGAATTTGAAAAAAATAGATAAAAATTTGAAAATTTTAAGAATGTTAAAATCAATATTTTCGACTTTTTTTATATCATTTGTATATTCTACATATATCAATAGGTTTTTACATTTTTAATTTATATTTCTTACATTTTAACTTTATTTTTTCAGTTTTCTGATTTTTTTTATTTTAACGTTTATAAATTATTTATCTATTTTTACACTTATACCATTTTTTATATTATTACTGCATTAGTTTTTAAATTTATAGGAATTTTTATACTTTGTCCGTTTTAAAGCTTCCCTTTGAATTACACACAATTTAAGAAAATGACCCCCGTTTTACATTGTTTTGCACTGTTTTGTTTATCAAATAAGGAAATGAAATATTTTTACTGACGGACTGAAAAGGAAAGTGAGATGTTTATTTAAGGACGGAGGGAGTAAGATTTATCTATAGTTCAAGGATATCGAGTCTACTAGACAGGCAGTAAATAAACGTGTCTCTACAACGGAAGGTTCAAAGAATAAAACCTACCTCTCCGTATGCAAGGATCATCTGGTGAACACAACGTGTCCTCCTATCTTCGTGTCTTTTAAGTCTCGAAAATCAATTTTCATTCATGTGGGGGATTGTTGGAAAAATGTGTTGAAAATTGCATTAAATGGTCATTTTGGGGCAATTATTTGAGTGGGGTCCACTTCCGATTTGGGTCGGGTCAAAGTGGTTTCGGATTGTCCTTGTTAAGGGCTACAATTCGATATATGGTACACTCAAAACGGATAACGGGTGAATGAGAAATTGATTCTCGAAGTTCACTCGTTGAAATGGAAAAACTGGGAAAATGATGAGTTTCTGGTGTGTTTTATCCCACACCGAAAAACTCAAGGGATTTTCACCCCCTTATAAAGGGAAGCCTCTTTTAAGGAGTTAAGATTCCTAAGGGTAAAGGCTCTCTCTTACGCGCAGGGGGGGGTGCCGATCAAATCCCGAAATGGAGAAGAAAAACCGCGACTCGTGTGCGCGGGCGACCTGCGGACACGAATGTCGTCCGAAAACCTTGAGGTCTTCTGTTCGTGACGGAGACCCTCGAGGTCTTCTGTTCGCAACAGAGACCCCCGAGGTCTTCTGTTCGCAACAAAAGGTCTTCTTCCGTTACAACAATTAATGTCCAACGTTCTTCTCTTTTAATGCTGCGTTAAATGGACAGTTTATGGACGATTCAATGCCCAACAGACTGGTCATTGATGTCCAACGTTCAGGTCCATTAACACCCCATTTAACACACAACAAATCCTCCTATAAATAGCTGGCAGGTGCTTTGCAACAAACACACGGTTTTGACAACGCACAATACATTCCTCACGTATTCTTGAGCTAAAAACTCTTCCAGCTACTCCCAAATTTCCTAGTGTTCTGCTATTGTTCCAGTTCGCCGGGACCTTCGTTTGTGTGCTCAAACGATCGTTCGTTAGCCACCGTATCCTGGGAAACGGTCGTTGCAACGCTCCTAGCACCGTGGGAGGCGACGAATACGTTTTAAGGACATCGTGCGTAGCACAAGCTCTGGCTAAAATCTGCTCCATCTTATTTTCTGTTTTCTTTAAGCTATTTTGTTTATTAATTAATTTTATTTAATTAATATTTCTTCATTTTTCCGAAACACACCCAACATTGTGCATAGCTATACAATAGTGAGATTGAGCCTTCTTTTGGGCAACAAGGTGGTTGTTCTATTATTTCACAGTGGAGCTGAGTAACTAAACTCCAACAAGCTAGGCCAATGGTTAAAAGAACATCACATAAGTGTGTTTTTGACATAGTTTTTACTTTGGAATGTATGAACTATTAATGATTGTCTACAAATGATTTCATATTCCATTGACACAGCCTTTATATGTTGTCAGAACTTACTTTTTAATTTTTTGTAGTTTCTCAGAGAGAAGAATTTCAAACAAACAATCTCACTCGTGAAGGTGAAAGATGGAGAAGAAATCACCCATGAAACGACAACTATTGCCTTGAAAAGAGCAGTCCAATTATTCTCTGCCCTGCAAGCCAGTGATGGTCACTGGCCTGCTGAAAATAGTGGTCCCTTGTTCTATCTTCCACCATTGGTTAGTTTGTTTCTTCCCCCACCCTTGAAGTGTTTGATGAAATGCTCATTCTGATCATTTACCCTTTTCTTGACAAAAACTATCAGATCATGTGTATGTACATCACCGGCCACCTTAATACACTTTTCTCATCAGAACACCGCAAAGAGATTCTTCGATACATATACTGTCACCAGGTATACTTAGATTTCGTTCTGAAAACTACACTTTCTCTTCTGAAATTTAGCATTTATGAATATAAGTGCATTTACACTGTGAAAAGCATTTTTCCTGATATAGAATGAAGATGGTGGATGGGGGCTTCACATAGAAGGCCATAGCACTATGTTTTGCACCACCTTGAGCTACATTTGTATTCGCATTCTTGGAGAGGGGCCAAATGGTGGTGAGAACAATGCATGTTGTAAGGCAAGAAAATGGATTCTTGATCATGGAAGCGTTAAATCTATTCCTTCTTGGGGGAAGACTTGGCTCTCGGTAGGACTATATTTTTTTTTGAACTACTTATTAACATTTGATTAGTTTTTCTAATCTCTTGCTGACAATTCTCTATTCTATGTTTAGATACTTGGAGTATTTGACTGGGCAGGAACTAACCCTATGCCTCCTGAATTTTGGCTACTTCCTTCTTCTCTTCCTATACATCTAGGTAGGCAGAAAGTTTAATTTTATAATGGTGATTAAACTATAGAACATTTATTGCCTTGGTTATGGTCATGTGGGTAACAAAATGTTATGCTTTTGGAAATGTGTAGTTTGATAGCTTTTTAGTGTATTATTAATGGTGGTCCAAACTCCATAGTAAACTAGCTGAAACTGACAAGAATAATGAGAAATATGTTTAAACTCCAGTTTAGAAAAAAGTGAAATCGGAACCATTCACGATATGCAATGTGAAAGCTAGTTTTATAGCATCAATTTTTAAGTTCAACTAAACAATATTGTTTTCTCAAATTCAGGGAAGATGTTTTGTTACTGTCGAATGGTTTACATGCCCATGTCGTATTTATACGGAAAGAAATTTGTTGGACCTATAACACCTCTCATTTTACAATTGAGGGAAGAGTTGTATGATGAGTCGTACAAGGAAATCAATTGGAGGAAAATGCGCCATCTATGTGCAAAGGTTATTTTTTACAAGTGAACTATATCATACAAATTATTTTTTTTAATTTTTTCATAATATGCTGAAACATACTTTTTTCTAACAGGAGGATCTCTATTATCCTCATCCCTTAATACAAGACTTCATTTGGGATAGTTGTTACTTACTTACTGAGCCTTTTCTTACTCGTTGGCCTCTTAACAAGTTGAGGCAAAAAGCTCTTGAAGTTACCATGAAACACATTCATTATGAAGATGAAAACAGTAGATACATCACAATTGGGTGTGTGGAAAAGGTAAGTAAGCATTATCTTAGCCGTATATTAACCCATGCAACATTATTCAATATTTCATTTTCTCATTCATTTTAAACTTTACAAGTGAGATTTTTAACATGAACTGTACAAGCAGATTCTCTGTATGCTTGCTTGTTGGGTTGAGGATCCAAACGGTCAATATGTTAAGAAACATCTTGCTAGGATCCCTGATTACCTATGGGTTGCTGAAGATGGAATGAAAATGCATGTAATCCCTCCTCTCTTAACTCTTTTTTATGACAATTCTTAATAAAATCTAAAAAGCGAGGTCTGATTTGTTGGTTGATGTTGAACTCTAGAGCTTTGGCAGTCAACTGTGGGATACTGGATTGGCTATTCAAGCATTGTTAGCCAGTGGGTTAACTGATGAAATTGAAGATACTCTTCGAAAAGGGCATGATTTCATTAAAAAATCTCAGGTACGAGGCTAGAAGTCCTAAAAATGTGGCTTCATTTAATAAAGATGATATGTTGTTTCTTTTTCATGCATGGTGTAGTTTTTATTTCAACAATTATGACCAAACATATACAATTTTCGTATAGGTTAAGGACAATCCTTCAGGTGATTTTAGGAGAATGCATAGGCACATTTCTAAAGGGTCATGGACCTTTTCGGATCAAGATCATGGATGGCAAGTTTCAGATTGTACTGCTGAAGGGCTAATGGTATCATATTATATTATTCTCAAGATAAGAACCATATACTATAAAACCTTTCTAATCTTCCACAATTACAAATATATTTACAGTGTTGCCTTATCTTCTCTACAATGTGCCCTCAACATTTTGGCAAGCATTTGGAACTTGAACGATTATATGATGCAGTTAATATACTACTTTCATTACAGGTAAGGATCGAATTGTGAGTTTTACATAAGTTACTATATTTTTTATTTCAAAAAATGAATTGACGCTCTATATAGTCCAAGTTTTGAATTGCAAATACATTCTCAATTCCAACAATAGAGGGAGTACAAATACACTCTTAGTGTTTGAAAATGTTTGAATGCGCCCGTGAAGTTTCAAATTAAGGTACATATTAGTCATATATGTACCATACCACAGTCGTACTCTTAGAGTTGTATTTGATGAATCTTTTTGAAATACATCGTTAAATTCAAACTCTAAGAGTGTATATCTATATGAAAAACTGTAAGGACTTATTTGTATAAAGTCGAGAAAATATCAAGGCTGTATTTTTCGATTGATTTAAAAGGTATCAAATGGGTGAAGAGACAAAGAAACAACAAAATTAGGAATTGATAAAATAAAAAGGAAAAAAGGGCGAATTATATACAACTACAAAAACATGGATTTTCTTATATTCCTATGATAAAAGAGTTGACCATTATATTTTTTTATCATCAAAACAAATGGCTTAAATTGATATCACAACATTCAGATAGGGGGTAAAACGACAAAAAGACCACATGCAACCGGTCAACCACCAGCCCTCGAACCAGACTTAGTGTCAATCACCTTCAAAAAGCAATATGACTCGTTGATCCTATAATTGGCGAATGAGTCAACGACGGTTAAAGCAGGCCTCCCATCACCAAATCCTAATGCAAGAGTCTTACAGCAATAAAAGTAACCAACAGAAAAATAAAGAGTCTGATCGTGAAAAATAAATAGCAAGCAAACAGTAAAATTAAAATGTTGCTTCCAAACCCTAGACTCTCCTGCACTCCATGGAGGTGGTTCTGGCGGGGGACGATCTAGCAGTACTGTAGCCGCTTCCTCGCCTTGCCTCTTGTTCATCATGTTCTCTACCAAGCCCCCTCTGTCACCGCCTATCATGAATGACTTCGAATCCAGATCTGTTCCAGCCTCTAGCCCCACGCTTCGTCCACGACCTTTGGCCGCCAGAGACCAAGCATTTGTCTTCCGTCCCTGCATAACCTTCGGTCGCTGGAGACCAAGCATTCTCTTCCCTCCGCTTAATCTTGCCAAAGCAAAAAAAAACCAAAATAGCCGCACAATTGATGCCGGAAGAAGAAACCATGTACGCCTAAGCCCGCCTACAGCGGCCGCTCCTCGTTACAAACGATAGCGAAGGAAAAACCCTAGCGGCGGAAATCCACCCTAAAGAGAGAAACTCTCGTTTTTAGAGGGAAAATGTAGTTGTTTCTAAAAGACTCATGACCATTATATATTTTGAAAAGATAAATTGAATATTTTACAAATAAATACAAAAAGAATATACTAATAAAAATGATAGCAACAACTAACTTATAGCAAAATTTCCATTAGTAATAATAACAATAAAAAATAAAATTAAAAGGAAATTGTGTTAAATAGCAACAATATTTTCGTCAAGTGAGATGTTAGCTGAAGCAAAATATGTTAATGCGTGCGCTCAGTAGGACATACTCGACGAGATTAAATTAGAGCACATGAGTCAGTAGTAATTAACGAAATATGTATGTGAGTTTGTAAGTATATGAAATATATGTTAGTTCTAATAAGTTGAGCCTCGAAATATATTACGTAGTATAATCTAATTAATAATCATAAGACCTAGAAGTGTGACTGTGTTTTAACTTAAATTCAAGCATTCATCATGTTACCAATACGTTTCTATGGAAAAATATAATTTGATTGGTCACACAATAAATTTCAATAGTAAGTTACATATGGTTTCAATTGTTTGGTCATGGATATCCTCCATTTTAATTCATTCAACAACATGGCAGAGCAAAAATGGTGGTTTGCCGGCATGGGAGCCCACTGGAGCACCAGAATGGTTGGAGGTACTTAATTCTTCTTACATTGATATAATAATGGTGATATAATGGCATTGTTTGGTGGGTTGTGTGATGTGTTTATTTCTTACTTAGCTTCTTTCGGTTTATATACACAGATGCTAAACCCAACAGAATTTCTCGCTGACGTTGTTATTGAGCATGAGTACGTAAGATTTATCTATTTGTAATTAAAATTGATATGATTGATTGTATTCTCCAATTCAGATATGCAAATATATTAGAATTATTTTCATCTAGGTATGTGGAGTGTACCGCTTCATCAATTCAAGCCCTCGTCCTTTTCAAGAAATTGTACCCTGACCACCGAACGAAAGAGATAGAAAATTTCATCACCAATGCTACAAAGTACATTGAAAATGTGCAAAGACCTGATGGTTCATGGTATATTAATTAATTAATCCCTTAATGTCTTGGAGAAGCAAATAGCATGTACTGTTTTCTTCTCATATGATATGATATTATATCAAGCTTAGGTATGGAAATTGGGGCATATGCTTCACATATGGCTCTTGGTTAGCCCTTCGAGGCCTAGCTGCAGCAGGAAAAACGTATAACAATTGTGCGTCTGTCTGTAAAGGTGTTGATTTTTTGCTAAGTACGCAGAGGGATGATGGTGGTTGGGGAGAAAGTTCCCGCTCTTGTCCCGAAAAGGTAACATTTGGTCGCGCGGATCACATTACACACTATTCTCTTTTTTAAAGAAAGAAATATACTTTGAAAAATGAGATACCAATTACATTTTTTTAAAACAGATATATCGACAACTTGAAGAAAATCACTCAAATTTGGTACAAACTTCATGGGCCATGTTGGGCCTGATCTATTCTGGCCAGGTAATGTCTTCTTTTGCTGATAACTTGGTAAAATTCTTATATGTAACAATAGCAATTAAAAAGCATTATACATCATTTAATTACCTACTCTTTGCATTGTGATAGTCGAATAGAGATCTAAGGCCGCTCCATGCTGCAGCAAAGCTTATAATAAACTCTCAAATGGAAAATGGTGACTTTCCGCAGCAGGTAACCTAAAAAATCACCAGTTCACCACTTACCCCCAATCATGAGATGTAATCTCAAGAAAGGTTAAGTTGTCGTAAATATGATCTGAATTTAAATTCTTCATTTTTCTACAGGAAATGGTAGGAGTTTTTATGAGGAACTGCATGTTACACTATGCAACATATAGAGACATCTTTCCTATATGGGCTTTAGCAGAGTACCGGAAGTGCATGTCTTTACCATCATCCACAAAGATCTAACCATTTTTAAGTCCGCATAATTGCACACCATTATAGTAAGGGATTTGCCAAGTTAGTTCTTATATAAACTATAATTTTTTGCTTTACTTTAAGCCATGAATTCTATATACACATTTACTCTCTTACTTTTGAAGGATGTTATCTTTGTTTTTTATTATATATTGATGAGAACTCATTTTAATTAAAGGCAAAACTTAATATCGTTCCTTCCTGCAGTGCTTTATTAGTTAAAAAAATTACTCCACTTCAAATCCCTACCACATCCAATAATTGCCACGTCTCTTTTTTAATAATAAGTGCATTATACTCGCAAGTTACATGCACTTTCCAATTAATTAAGATCTCAACAGGGAGTGATGTATAAATAGGAAGGGTTTGATGATGTATACACATTGGGGTTTGTGGAGAGATGGGCGAGGCTTCTGATGTAATGTGCTTGTTCAGCTTTGTATACGATTCAGTTAGGCGATGCGGAGTTGGATCCTGTTCGGCCTTCAAGAGAACTTAGAATGGGAGATCCGTTTTCTCTTTATTTGTTTATTCTCGTAGCCGAGAGTTTAAGCTCATTTGTACGGAGGGAAAAAGGTACTACCTCCGTCCCAATAAATTCTTCCAAGTTTGACTTGGCTCGCAAATTAAGTGGAATGTATGGTTGTAGTTGTGTAAGAAAAAAGTGAAATGAATGTGAGCCACACAAATTGTCCAAAAAGGGAAAGTTGGGAAAAAAAATTGGGACGACCCAAAAGGGAAAGTTGGGAGAATTTTATGGGACGGATGGAGTATTTGGCAGATTGAACGGCGTGTCAATAAGTTGAGGTGTTGAGGGGCTCCGAAAATCTCGTATTTACTTGTGCATATAATAGCTTGTTGTTTTGCAAGGCCACTCATGATGAGGCAAAGGTTGTCGAGGAAACTCTTCACATTTACAACTTACAAGGAAGCCTCAGGACATGTAATTAATTTTGATAATTCAATGGAGTGAGTTTCAGCCCTATTACTCCAGACCCTCAGCCCCCCTCCCTCAGACCCCCCTGGAGTAGAAAAAATCAAAAATGTTTTTAGTGCTAATGTTCAGAGTAGTTAACACAAGAGATGATCTGACATGTTGGGGGTGGGCAAGGTGGAGGAATAAGAAATATTAGGTTTGCCAGCATTGGTAAATGGAAAAGGGAAATTTCTGATTATATTAGGCAGAGGGTAGTAAACCGCAGAGTTGCAATAGTAGAATTATGTTCACGGCGGGTAGGGAGGTTCTCCTCAAAACTGTCATACAAGCTATGCCTACTTGCGTTATGAAAATTTCTCTGTTACCAGGCGAGCTTTGTAATAAGCAGGAAGTTTTGATGAATTGTTATAGGTGGAACAGAATTTCTTGACGAATTCTTATTGGTGGAACATAATTTCTGTGAAAGGGGGAGGCGGAAAGAATGGGGATATTTATTCAAGCCTAAAAAAGCGCGTGGGGGGTATGGGTTTTCGATGGATTCAAGAGTTTAATATAGCCATATTGGCAAAACAGACATGGAGGATTCTCACGGAGCCGGATTTGATTGTGGGGAGGTTTTTAAGAAAAATATTATATGCGTGGCACTTTTTTTTACTTTGAACTTGGGAGGAAACCATTTATTTGTATGGAGGAGTTTATTTGAAACTCATAAAATTATGAAGGATATAAATGGTCCAAATTCGTCCATCCATCCCTTAGGACTCCCCAAAACCAGCCGAACAATTATTTGGGATAATGTAATTTGAGTTTTGATCACACATTGGTAGAAAGAGAGTAGGGTTCCAGTTCAAGTATTTGCAAAGAGTTGAACTCGTGATCTCTCCTTCCCCTTTCCACCAGGTGAGCTATGCCCCACCCCCCACCCCCGTGGGAATCTTAATGTAGGGAACCTAGCACATTTTACACCACATAAAAAACTTCTTTTCATAAACCTTACATTACTCTCACAACTAGACACCTTTGACCTTTCCCCTTCTACACCCATAACAACATGAAGATACTCTGACTCCTTGATGAAGCATATAACAGTTTACCATAAATTGAGGAAATTTTTTCGTTGAAAATGCGAGAGTTTTAAATAATATATCAGAATTAAAAGTCTTGATACTCCAACCTATCCTAGCAAGAGACCACAAAATTGAGACATGCATATACACCTAATGTTCCGAAAAATAAAGTAATAAAGTGACACAAATAAACCAAATTATGATTAGTAAGAAAAAATAACTCGATAATAAGAAGTCCCTTGCCCTCCTATCTGATGAGAGTTTTCTCTCACTTAAAATACGTGTAGGAATATAAGATATAAGTATGAGTATCGTTTCCACAGGAACGGAAAAAAGGAATTAAGTATTAAAAAAAATCAGCGATTAAAATAATGCGAATGTGCGAGATGAACTTTTAGAATTAAAAGCGACAGAAAATAAGTCTAAATTAAAAAGCTCTTTTGAGTTAATGACAAGAAGGGAACATAGATTGATTCCGGGGCAATTAGATTTCGGGCTTGATCAGACTTATTCACATGAAAACTATTTAATTGAGCAACGTAGGTCAATACTAAGTTCTTATCGCTCTCACGCCGCAGAGTACATACAATAATTTAGAGAACCGAGTTGATCTCTCACGTGACAAGTTTCTAAACTATTGCCAAACAAGCGAGCGTACGGCTCCCTAACCGTGCTAATCTCTTAGCGAGCAATTAGGTGTGTGTGTGTGTGAAGGTGTCCTAGAATAATATAGATCTCTCTTAAATTATTCTATGTGCAATTATAATTCTAGTGGCCATTCAAGATTACGAAAGATGTCAATTAAATTATTCAAACACAAATTAAACAATAATCATGCAATTAATCCATCAAGAATTAAACCCTAGATCATGATTAACACGCCTTCATCAATCCCAAGTCCCTAATTAAATTTACTCACAATTTATAATTGAATTAACAATAGAATTGAGAAAATAAGAATTAATTGTCATTAATTTAAAGAGAGAAAGAACTCACAAACAATCCCACAATATTGAAGATCTCATGCTGAAAAACAAGAAGGAATTCGTTCCTAGACTTGTCTCTAAACTCAGTCTACAACCTAAAACTGGGTTAATAGGCTGTTTAAATGCAAAAAAGTGAAAAGTGGCTGAAATTGGGCTTTTTGGGGTGAATTCTGGTCATTCCCGTCCAAATTTAGCTATGCTTCCTTTAGCAAATTTACAGCTAATGAAATCCTTTATCCACCACAATTTGAAAAATTGGAATTAGATCATCCAATCAAAAGATATCAATGAAATGGTGGAAGGTCACATCCTCAAATCTCAATAGCGATTATCTGACTTCCTCGTCTGTTTTCACCTTGATCCTCTCATATTCAGGTTAGTGTCTTCATATGATTTGTAGCCCATTGAGTTATCTTTCGTATGAAACTTTTAATTGATTAATGATTACTTTTATTAATTAATGAAAGTTATTTTGTGACAAAAATTAAAAATTAATTAAAATTAACCGCATTAAGTATTGCTTATGTGGTGCAAAACTTAAAGACAATAAAGAATAAAATTATTAAAATCTAATGACATGTTGTCACTCACAAAACTCAAATTTTAATTCTTTTCAAAATTAAATTTTAATTCTTGTAAGCATATTTAAAAGTCCAAGTTAAATATGATTGCACGGGTTAATTAGTCAGAGGTCACTCATCTCAAGACTACTCCCATGTAAGCACACTGAACTTGGAGTTCTTAGCATATGAACTCTTTAAAAGGAAACGCGTCTTGTTTAAAAGGAATTTTATCAATTCAAGACCCGAAAGATAGATGAATTATCAATCCGGGACCTGAAAGATGAAATGTATCGATATAGGACCCGAATGATGGAAAACTATCAATTTAGGACTTGAATGATTGAAAATTATCAATTTAGGACCTAAGTTGTCCGCAATTTTAATAATTTTTTTATCTTAAATTTTTTAAATATTGTTTAGTTTTGTGAAACTAATAAACTTTTGTGAAGAAAAGTTTATCAAAAATTAGCAATGGAATTAATAAAAAATTAACAAATCAAAACTTAGGAAATTTTAGGTCCTAGATTGATAGTTTTTCATCATTCGGGTCTTATATCAATAGATATCATCTTTCAGGTCCTAAATTGATAATTCATCTATCTTTCGGGTCATGAATTGATAAAATTCCTTCTTTTAAACTAATCTCAAGTATTACAATATCACATACCCCAATTTGTCTGAAAATAAATCACATATCCTTAAATCTAAATGCTTACAACCACATGATATTGTTGTAGACTTTTCGCTCAAATTTAAGTGGATAATTATATATTTATATATATAGGGAGCGGATCAGGTGAGAAGTGCCCTTAGGCTGAGAACTGCGAGGCTAACTTATAGACTGAAAACAGGAACTTTTAACCAATAAATCACAACTTATAGACCCCTCGAAATAATTACGAACATGCCACCGCAAAAAAATAAGTCTGGAGACCTTGGAAATTTTTTGACGCGGTGGCATTTCTGTAATTACGATGGAGAACTTTATAAGTTATGATTTATTGGTTATAAGTTCCTATATTCAGTTTATAAGTTTGCTGTGTTGTAAGATTAGATGCAAATCCAAGGGCTGAGATTACTTCTCACCTAATCTTTTTTCTCTCTCTCCCTCTCTCTCTCTCTCTCTCTCTCTCTCTCTCTCTCTTAAAATGACAAGTGAGAAGTAATCTCAGCCCTTGGATTTGCATCTAATCTTAGAACGCAGCAAACTTATAGACTGAATATAGGAACTTATAACCAATAAATCATAACTTATAAAGCTCTACATCGTATTTACGGAACTGTCACCGCGTAAAAAAACAATTGAAGGTCTCTGGAGTTATTTTTGTGGTGGCATGTTCGTAATTATTTTCGAGGAGGTCTATAAATTATGATTTATTGGTTAAAAGTTCGTGTTTTTAGTCTATTAGTTACACTTCGCAGTTTTCAACCTAAGAGCACTTCTCACCTGATTCGCTCTATATATATATATATATATATATATATATATATATATATATATATATATATATATATATATATATATATATATATGTATGTATGTATGTATATATATGTATGTATGTATGTATGTATGTATGTATGTATGTATGTATGTATGTATGCATGCATGCATTTTTTCATGCGTCAGTGTCACTGTGATTTGTGG